CAGGCGCTTCAGGGCTTCAAAATCTCCGATGCACCCTGCGTAAAAACGAATAAGCTGAATCGGCATGTCGGTCAGGAAGTCTGTGTTGCGGGACGCCCCGCGGAGATTGCTCGGGCAGAATTCGAGCTGAACGCAATAACGCAAGTGCGGCGCGCGACACTAGCTGTATGCCGCGCTGCCGCAACGTGGACTTCCTGGCCGGCACTCGCTAAACGATCCTCTTCTCGGTACAATGTAAAAAGATTGGAAGGAATAAAGATGAGTCATTTATTGAATTTGATAACAAGTTCCTCAACCCAATGGAGAAGCCTACAACTTTTAATGGACTTACCCGCCGTTTGGTATGCAGAGTTTCAAGTTTCTTTTCCCTTTTGATGGTGAGCTGACGTATCAAATCGTCCTTATTTCGTATATTTGCCTGCCCTTTCTCGTACTTTCGAGCGAAATCCGCCAACGCTCGTTCCCATTCTTCCTGAAAATGGTATCGATAAAATTATTGATTGATTGAGCTACAAGCTTTTTCCTACCTTAGTCTCATTCTCAAATTGCTCGCTTTCCTTTGTCCGCTGGTTTTGGAACGCTTCGTAGAGCTTGTCCTCATCTCGTCGATGGAGCAGTTCTAGACGCGTTTGGGCATCATAATCCTACAATAGCTGTCTCATAAATTACCCATAACGGATACTGCCGTTAAGCACTTGATGGCACATTCCACATGAACCGGATGGGCGGGGACATCAATCATTGTGCCCTAATCATCGATGATCTCCTTTCGAAGAAAAAAAGGTAAGCAAATGTACTTATGCAGATAAACTCTCCAAAACAAATGACTCGTTTCAACCCTCCCTTAGCAATCGCCATTTCTTCAACCCGGGGTTCATCAGTGAGGTGGGACTGACGAAATAAGGACAACATAAAGAAGGATTCGAGGAACTGGGAATTGGCGGTTCTCTGTCCACGCCCATACGACCAGCGAGGAGTGTTTGTGCCACCCACTCTACCCAATGTCTAGAAAAAGAGACCAACCACGGCATAATGAGCTCCTTTGTGTATTATCTTCGGATATGGCTTGGTGACTTGCGTTGCTTTGATGGCATGGGCGATTTTCATGTCTTCCAAGCCGGCATCTCTGAAATCAAGAGACATTTTATCTTCTTGGAAGGTTGGGAATTTTCCTCATTGCTATTAGAGTACCGTACCCTGACTTGAGAAATTTAAGTGATTATGGATGGACATGAGGCGATGGTATCGTAATGGCAAGCGGCACGCTTACTGCACATATGGTCAGGGGGTCGAATCCCGGGACAACACCGCCCAGGGAAACGGTCCTCCACCCTTTCACCCTCCAAGGGAAATAAACTGGTGCCAGATTTGCTTAAAAGGATAAAAACACTGACTCGTTCACGGCTGGTCCCGCAACTTACCACATAAACCACATCGCCTTTAATGAGCCACGACGATTCTGAATGGAAGTAGAAAGCGCGGCGCATCCCGGAAATGGATTGATCAACGGCGAAAACTTTATCCTTTTTCCACCTCACAAGCGAAGCCGCAAATTTGAATGGTGGACGCAGCCACGTCCGCTCCATTTCCGGGATATGGGGCCTATCAATGGTGGCTACTGTAGCTTCGATCTCCAACCCGCCCACACCGAGAGACTGCCCGCCTACTATCTCAGACAGCGAACTAAGCGTATATCGTTGCCTCCCCCCGCTGCTTGCCAAAGCTTTTCAAATCTATCGCCGGGCCTTCGATCGGCCAAGCCATCGAGCAAAAATCAGCGTACTATGCCATGATGCCGTATTCATACAAAGATCGGCGTATAAAATCAAGACCCGTATGCCCAATTAAGGTCAAGTCAAGTAGCGCGAGAAAAATGGCAGCTGCTCAAGGTAAATGCCACCCCTTACCCTTCAACAGGAAGACTGAGGCAGATAAATTAGGATTACTTTAGGCATTGCTTAAACTATAGCTGTTGAGGCTACTCCCTACAAACTTTGGCCACGCACACCACTGACATTTATCAAGGATTTAGAATCACTCTTGCACATTCCTGTCTCTGAAGATGTGGTCGGAGCTCCAATTTGCTAGAACGCCACCAGAACGTCGCTGTTGCGATATGTATCCCGCCCCCCGAAATCAGTAGCTCATTGAGCTCATCGCCTCTACCACAACTGCTTTGCTGCTAAGTTCTACAGTTCCTAAAAAGCGCCTTCCGCATGGGCAGGGGCGCTTTCCCGTGCACGGTGAGTAGCTCCACAGCCGGTTGCAGTAGATAAGATCCTAGTGTTTGTTTTTCGAGCGCTACTTAGTCTCCTTTTATCTTCCCAGACGAATATGGTCCCAATTTACAGCCTTCGGAGGGTAGAAGGCTTGGCTGGTCGAGATGAGAGCTGATACAGCATTTCCCCATCAAGCCGTTTCTCGAATACAGGTGAAAGTCTCGATTTGGGAAGATATCAGTCCCTAGAGGTTTGACCGCTGAATACGAGTATCCTATTTGTTCCAACAGAAAACGCCTGGCGTCCGCCCGCCGCGCTAAACCCATTTTCGCGCTGAACGGATGTATATACGTAATTCATGTGTTCCGACAGCAAACCTACCCCGGAGGACAAGTTTTCGGTAATCCCGCGCGTAAGGATTAGGGTGCTAGGCGTTTCCGCGACACAAAAGGATGTGGTAGTGGCGTTCCATCAAACCAATTCCGGGAACATTTTTCAGGGAAATCAGCCCCGGGCAATGTTAGGTGAGCATCTGGGGCGCAGTTCGGCGACGGGGGCATTTCGCACTGCTACTTCCCATCGACGTGTCGACCTATCTAGACAGCCTCTTCTCGAGTTGACAGGTTTTACCATGATGGCTTGACGACCTTGCTCCAGCTTCACAAGAGTTCACAGGTTTCACCAGAGTGAGACTTGTAAACCGGAACTAGTGAAGCAACGAAAGTGCAAAATGCCCCCCCCCCGTCGCCGAACTGCGCCCCAGATGCTCACCTAACATTGCCCGGGGCTGATTTCCCTGAAAAATGTTCCCGGAATTGGTTTGATGGAACGCCACTAGCACA